ATATAAATATGAAGATGTGGTATTAGTGCCAATGAGACAACTCTCCATCCAAGTCATTATGTATAAAAAGTTAACAATTATAGGTCAAAGTACGGCCTTCAAAACGGAGCATTGGCTCACACCAAACAGCAAGCTATAAAAGGCCCTAAAATGACTAGTGTAAAACAAATCAAACAGGAAAACCAACGGTCTAATCTGAACAAAAAAAAAACGAGAAACGAAGAACAATTATGAACCATACCAACAAACGACAACCACTGAACAACGGGCTCCTGACTAAGGACAGGTGCATAAAAATGCAGCGGGTTTTAAATGTTTTAACTGGCGCCAAACTTCACCCTTACCTGAGACAGTAGTATAACATAACAACATAAAAAGACACACTATGAAATATCAATACAAATGGCTTAACTCGATCAAAACAACATTTAAACAAAAACAAGTAAACATACACTGAACGAATAAGTTTGATCTATGACACAATATAAATACAATATTAAATCGTAGGTTCCTATATAAAACAGACGAAACAGGTAGTAATAAAAAAAGATGTAGGGAGAGTGTCAATAAGACAAATCTTACCTGGGCCCTAATGGCGTTAAATAAAACAACGTACACAAGTAAATTTAAATATAACTATTATGTTGTTAGGAATACGGAATACAATGTTTGTTATGAAAAATATCTGATGCACAGACTTATGACGGCACTGATTAAAATGTTAGAAATATGTTATATAAGACGATGTACTATAAAAATGCCATTATTTTTATACGTACTTGACAAAAATGCAACAATATTAAAGAATTATACATATCATTTCCGTCTACACAATTCGAAAAAAGGACAACTATTATGAAGAATAGTAATTTGATATTGCTTTCCATGATTAAAATAGTGAAATGTCTGGAAAGGTTGAATGAAGCCTACTTTATATTTATCGTGCACAACTTACACGTGATTGTTAAACATGTTGTAATATGTTCGAAGGAGGATGTTCACGCCCAATATGACAGATCAGTTCACATTCAAACATGGAAATTCATAATTATCTGTTTTAATTCAATTAAAATATTATAAATTTTCACTTCTGTACTCGTACTCTGAACAACAAATTTATTAATTTTGTAAAAAATGTTTACAAAAATAATAAATTTGTTGTTCAGAGTACGAGTACAGAAGTGAAAATTTATCGTCAAACTAAATACTTATCAAAGGTGGTACATTAATTGAATCAAAACAGATAATTATGAATTTCCATGTTTGAATGTGAACTGATCTGTCATATTGGGCGTGAACATCCTCCTTCGAACATATTACAACATGTTTTACAATCACGTTTAAGTTGTGCACGATAAATATAAAGCAGGCTTCATTCAACCTTTCCAGACATTTCACTATTTTAATCATGGAAAGCAATATCAAATTACTATTCGTCATAATAGTTGTCCTTGTTTCGAATTGTGTAGACGGAAATGATATGTATAATTCTTTAATATTGTTGAATTTTTGTCAAGTACGTATAAAAATAATGGCATTTTTATAATACATCGTCTTATATAACATATTTCTAACATTTTAATCAGTGCCGTCATAAGTCTGTGCATCAGATAATTTTCATAACAAACATTGTATTTTTTTAAGAAAAGAGTCAAGTACGAAAAGACGGAAAACGTGTTTGTTCCTCTTGGAATTTTTAAACTTAAAGGATAATTGTTTATCTTACGTTTTTGATAAAAAAAATGACAAATATAAAATAAGAAGATGTGGTATGATTGCAAATAGAGATTTACGGAAAGTATCGGTACCGACAGTTTTCACCAATTTCGAAAAGGAAGATGAAGAGGATCGTCTCAAAATTAAACAAATGTAGTAAACAATTTGCACTTCAAGGCAAAAGTTGCAAATACCTATTAAATAAAATCTATAAACTGTTAAATACAATTTCACAAATCGTATCCCCCTTTTGATAGCTCATTTAGGTCAAAGGTATACAAGCTATTTCCATGGTCACTATTTATTCGTTGTTGTCCGTTGTCTATTCATACTTAAAAAGTATTTATACCAAACTTAGTGTATGGGTCATTAAAAAAACCGTACACCTAGACTAAAATTTGTATTTTTAATGAAAAACGTAGTTGTAAGTGTTTAGATGAAAAATTGTAGCATTTATGAGTCTTTAAATCAATAATAAAAACGAGATTAAAATATATTATTCAAGTGAGTTTTATACGTAATTTATGTGCGTACATGCAGTGTCAAGTTTACAAATTTCATATTATTTTTTTTCTGGTTTTTCTGATTGCCTTGAAATCAGCAAAATGAACTAGTTTAGAATGTTAATATTCATTTTAATGACAAATCACAGTTTCTTTATCATTCTATGTAACACGTTTCTTTACAAACTAATTTCAATCGACGTTCATTAAATGCATGTCTATCCTGTTACTGATACTAGATCAACCGATAAATTATTTCTTCTTTTAGATATTAAAATATTCAGTTAAGATTTAAAAGCACAAAGATCCTCAAAATTGTACACAATACTTTTCTTACATCACAGTGTACAGAAAAGAATTCAACAGCTTGAGTAAAAAAAAAAAAAAAAAAAAAAAAAGTGCGTACCCTTTTGTCATGTCTATGCTGTTGCCAACAAATTTATAAATGACAACAAGATAATTTAAAAGAAGCTTTATTATAACCATTGTCATATTATAATCAAATACAAAGTTGTATCTTGGGTGCACACATACTTGTCCAATCTAATATATACTTAAAAGTTGACGTAAAGCAAGAAAAATCAAGAAAGTTTTTTCATAGTTTGTTGCCACGGTAACTCGTTAAATGTGAAATTTGTAATCATTTCCTGAACACCTTGTACCTTACTATAGTTTGGACAAAGTTAAGAATATGTATGAAAAGTAGTATATATATTTGATTTTGATTTTTGGTGTTTTAACGCCACTTTTAAGCACCGTTTTTGGGCTATTTCGTGGCGGCCAGTTTTTATTGGTGGAGGAAGCCGGAGTGCCTGGAGAAAACCACCGACCTTCGATAGGAAAACTGACAATCCTAGTCAATTAAGATTGGAGTCGAGTGCACCCGCACGAGCGGGTTTCGAATTCACAACCTTAGTGTTGACTGGCTAGTGATTACAGTAGTAACTACTTAGACCACTCGGCCACCGAGGCCCCCTAGTATATATATGATGCACCTCTATTCATAGTTTCCACGTGACAAAGTGTAGAGGGGCATCAGATATATATAAATAAATCATATTAGATAAATGGACAAAGGTTAAAATATCTAAGAATGTCCACTTAGAAATGTCCACTTTGAAAAAAAAATAAAAAAAAAAAAATCAGAAAAAGGGGGTCCATTCCCCAAGCGCCTGTGATCCGTAATGAAATAATTCATGCACTCCGTTTTTATATAAAAGATTCACGAGATTTGCTTTTCAACTCTGTAAAGTATAAAACCGTGACACTTCAAATTAAACTCACTCAAAAATATTTAATGAATGTTACCGACAATCTTTTATAAGTGTTGACTATTAACAAATAATTTGTTCAAAAATTATATAAAACATTGTTACATTTTTTTGTATTTTTGTTTTTGTTTCATAAAGTTTGAAAGTACTATCATTCCTTTATTATCTTTATAATAATTCTTATAATATTTCTAATTTCTAATCTTCTAATTATTTACTACTGGTGAAATTCGATGCATTTTTAAACACTCAAAGAAATTTAAATGATTTTCTTTACGCAAGAACTTATGATAGCAGTTAGGAAATAATAGCTAAAATAGTCCTAAGATAGCTTCGAGGTGCATGCTGAGACATGTCGTTAGTCGGTCCTAACAGTTTCCTAATCTATTCCTAAGATAGGTCTTAGGACTGATCCTAGGACAGCTTCGATAAACAAGCCCCTGGTTCATTTCAAAACTTATATCTGACAGCCCTATCCAATTTTATTTAAAAATGGCCATCAAAGCCTTTGAACAGTCGACATCTCGTCAAAAACTACAAAATGTAGGTATGAAATTAGATGGTAGAAATGTTTCCGGAAAACTGCAACTTAGCATTTCTATTTATAAACGTGGCTACCATAACCTGAAATTGGTTGACAGATTTTGGTCAAAACCTGATTGGCCCATGCAAACCACACTTGATATACATTCCTCTAGGTTGGTAATTTTCCCAAATTGTGTCCGATGGCCCACGAAGGTTGTCAGAATGGCCACATAGCTTCTTAGACTAATTGGTTGGCACACATTTTCAAATTATTTTTATCAGCAAAAAGTGCTTGGCATTTATATGGGAAATATTAAAAATAAAATACAAGTCAAAATGACCTCCATTAAAAAAATTAAATCTTGTTTCAGATCATACAAGTATATAAATGCCTTTTTGTATTTGTATTGATGTATCAATGTATCGTTATATATATTTTACTATATGTTTTAAATAATGATTATACTGCTTCAAACTAGTGTTTTATTAAATGACCTTTTTGTAGTTTGTAAGCTAGACCCTGTAACCGGACCATATAGAGCACGCTTTCAATACTGACGATGAATTGTACTGACAGACATAGATATATATGTATTCTTAGAAGATTTCTGGAGTTGTTGGATTGACACTTTTATTTTCATGAACAACATCATACTAGTTTGTTAACTTATTAGACATGTAAATATTCCGTTGGATTCCGTTGCCTTAAAGAGAAGAATTCCGGATAAAGAGAAGACTATAAGATAGGACATTCAGATATCTTAACAATTAAGTTAACATATCTATTTGTATAATATTTCTTGTAAAATTGATTAATAAATCTTGTTAAATTTATCATTGATATCGTTTTTTGTTAAGCAACCTTCCATCATCATCATCATCATCATCATAATCTTTTGTTGGCTGCAATTTAAAGGTGATTTCTGGATGTAACATCATGTAAACTGATATATCATATTGGGCGTAAACATCCTCTTTCTAACATATTACAACACGTAGTACAATCACGTGTAAGTTGTGCAAGATAAATATAAAGCAGGCCTCAAGCTTTACAGACATTTTATTATTTTAATCATGGAAAGCAATATCAAATTACTGTTTTTCTTCTTCATAATAGTTGTCCTTGTTCCGAATGGTGTCGATGGAAATTATGGTATGTATAATTCTTTAATACTGTTGAATTTTTGTCAACTTAGTATTAAATTACAGCATTTTTATAGTACATCGTCTTATATAACATATTTCTAACATTTTAGTCAGTGTCGTCATAAGTCCGTGCATCGGACATTTTTCATAACAAACATTGTGGTTTTTTTTTTAGGAAAAGAGCTAAGTACGAAAAGGCGGAAAATATGTTTATTACTTTTGGAATTTTTAAACTTAAAGGATAATTGTTTATCTTACGTTTTTAATAAAATAAAATGACTAATATAAAATAAGGAAGATGTGGTATGATTGCAAGTAGAGATTTACGGAATGTCTCGGTATCGACTGTTTTCACCAACTTCTACAGGAAAAATGAAGGGGATCGTCTCAAAATTAAAAACAAATGTAGTAAACAATTTGCATATTTCAAGGTAAAAGAAAGGCAAAAGATACCAAAGGGACATTCAAACTCATAAGTCGAAAATAAACTGACAACGCCATGGCTAAAAAAGAAAAAGTTGCAAATACCTGTTAGAATAAAAAACAATAAACTGTTAAATACAATTTCACCAATAGTATCCCCCTTTTATTAGTTCATTGGGTCAAAAGTATACAAGCTATTTCCATGATCACTATTCATTCGTTGTTGTCCGTTGTCTATTCATACTTAAAAAGTATTTAAATCAAACTTAGTGTATGGGTCTTCTATGATCAGTTTTCATTCGTTGTTGTCCGTTGTCTATCCAGGCTTAAAAAGAATTTGAACCAAACTTAGTGTATGGGTTATTAAAAAAAAACAGTAATGAAAAACGTAGTTGTAAGTGTTTAGATTAAAAATTGTAGCATTTATGAGTATTTATGAGTATTTAAATTAATCATAAACACGATTTAGGTCAATTTATAAGAGATTATAATATATTATTTAAGTAAGTTTTATACGTAATTTATGTGCGTACATGCAGTTTCTAGGTAACAAATTTCTGGATTTTCTGATTGCCTTGAAATCTGCAAAATGAACTATTTTAGAATGTTAATATCAATTGTAATGAGTTTCTTTATCATTCTATATAACACGTTTTTTACAAACTAATTTCAATCTATCCTGTTACCGATACTAGATCAACTAGTGAATTATTTCTCCTTTTGGATATATTAAACTATTCAGTAAAGTTTTAAAAGCACAATGATCCTAAGAAATGTACACAACACTTTTCTTACATTACAGTGTAGAGAAAAGAATTCAAAAGCTTAAGTAAAGAAAATTGCGTACCCTTTTGTCATGTTAATGTTGTTGCCAACATACTTATAAATGACAACAATATTATACTTTTGAAAAGTGCAATTATGTGTTGGAAACCAAGCCCGAAGAAGAAAAACATTATCACTGCAACAAATGGAGTACATGTATAGTTATTTCACAACAGCATTCATAAATATAGAAGTTTGTCTATATTGTTACTGTCTATCCTGCTACTATAGTTTGAGTAACAGGTTATACTACATAAAGAGGATGGTTTAAAATAGCTACTTTTATTCAATTTTGCAATTTCGATATATCTTTTTGAATGACCCGCATAGGAATGCTCTTTAACTAGGGCCTATTAATCGAAGCGCTCTTAGGACTAGGACATGTCCTTAGATTATCTTGGGACGTATCTTTGTCTTAATTGGGTTATCAAACATGTCGAAACTTAGGAAAAGTCATAGGAATCGTCCTAACTTTTTTGTGTATTCTTATTTTTACAAAGTAAATTCTCTTTAGTATTTTAGCATATTTGCACTTATCAAATGTGTTCTTGCTCTTATCCAAAAGATATTACAAAAACAGTAGTATATATATGATGCACTTTTATTCATAGTTTCAAAGTGATAAATCACATTAAATAAATGGACAAAGTTTAAAATATTTCAGAATGTTTACTTTGAAAAAAGTTTAAACACAAAGAAAATAAAAATCAGAAAAAGGGGGTACATTCCAAAAGCGCCTGAGATCCGTAATGAAAAAAATAATGCATTCCATATTTATATAAAGATCCACGAGATTTGCCTATCAACTCTGTAAAGTATAAAACCGTGACACTTCGAATTCAACTGACTCCAAATATTTTATGACTGTTACTGATAATCTTTTATAAATTTACACTATTAACAAATAATTTGTTCAATTATTATATAAAAGGTTGTTATATTTTTTGTGTTTTGTTTTTGTTTCATAAAGTTTGATAGTACAGTCATTAGATAAATATCATTTATTATCTTTATAATAATTCTAATTTCTAAACTGCATAAAAATTGGGAATGGAAATTGGGAATGTGTCAAAGAGACAACCAAAGAGCAGAAAACAGCCCAAGGATCTTCAAAATAACGAGAAAATCCCGCATCCGGAAGCGGGCTTCAGTTGGCCCACCCCTAAAGAAAAATGTATACTAGTTCATAGAAAATGGACGTCACACTAAAATCTGAAACATATAACTGAACCGAAATTAAAAAAACATACAAGCCTAACAATTGCCAGAGACTCCTGATTTGGGACAGGCGCAAAAATGCGGCGGGGTTAAACATGTTTTGTGTGATCTCAACCCTCCCATATACCTCTAGCCAATGTAGAATAAACAAACACACAGCAATACGTACAGTAAAACTCAGTTAAAAAGAAGTCAGAGTCCGATGTTAGAATAGGTAACAGAAGAAACTAAGCAAAATGACAATGATAACATATCAAATTAACAGAGGACTACTAGAAGTTCCTGACATGCCAGCTCCAAACCTCAATTAAACTGATTGAAAGATTATGTCTTCATCATATAAAATTAAAGCACAATCCCTTCCGTTAGTGGTTAAGTATAATACCATCATAAAATATAAATAAAGAACATAAGCCGTATCATGCCAACAACTGGTTTTCGTGTATGTATATGACTTTTTGTATGTGTATTGATGTATCAATGTATCAATGTATCGATTTATATATTTTGTTATATGTTTAAAATAATGAATATACTGCTTCACACTAGTGTTTTATTGAATGACCTATTTTGCAGTTTGTAGGCTAGATCCCGTACCCGGATTTTGTAGAGGATTCTTTCAAAAATACTATTACAATTGGAAAACGGCACAATGTAAACAATTTATATACGGTGGATGTGGTGGAAATGGTAACAATTTCCGAAGTATTGCTGAATGCCAGGCTGCTTGTCTGTAACATATGTGTATGTATATTGTATATTGCGGTTATGAATGAAACATTTGATTGAACATGAACTTGTATTATGAAATAGAAGTTCCATCAGAATATAAGTTCCAAATCGAAGACATATTCTGTAATATTATTTCCTCAGGAACAAATATTACATTATTTGAGAGTTTTAATTCCATTAAGCAAGCAGCCAATTACACATTAGGAAATACATAGCAGTAATTTGATTGGTTATTTACACCACAAATCGCTTTTGACGGTTACATGAGGGTCAGAATGGGGAAGGGGGTGGTAGAGGAAATCCTTAATTTCTATATTCTTTAAATTTTCAGAGCTCTGTAAAAATGTCTACTCTGTAAACATCATTCTGACCCTCTTACATGAACTATATATATATATGTTAGACTTTTACAAACCACCTAGTTAATCGGGTGGTTTTAGTATTTCATCTACAGTAACAAAAACTTGTCAACACTAAGGTTGTGAGTACAAACGTCGCACGGCCTTATTTGATCAGGATTGCCAAATTTCATACAGAATTGAGGCCTCACCGGGCACTGCGGTTTTCTCCATCTATAAAAGCTGGCTACCATGATATTTACAAGAGTGATGAAAGTTGCGTAAACACCAACAATCACAAATCAATCACAAACCATCTTCTTCCTTCATTATTTCAAGTCACTATGTCATCTAATATTGCTGATAAAAGCTCTTTGTATTTACAAAGGAAATACTGTCATACTGTATACTGGCATACGAGTGAGAGGTTTAGCTAGCTATAAAACCACGTTTAATCCACCATTTTCTACATAAGGAAATGCCTGTACCAAGTCAGGAATATGACAGTTGTTTTCCATTCGTTTGATGTGTTTGAGCTTTTGATTTTGCTATTTAATAAGCGACTGTCCGTTTGAATTTTCCTTGGAGTTCGTATTTTTTGTTATTTTACTCCTTCCTTTGAATCCATACTGAAAGTGTATGAACACACTAATGTCAAAAGACACAATGTATGCACACACTTATGTTAAATGACACAATGTATGCACACATTAATGTCAAAAGACACAATATATGCACAAACTAATGTCAAAGGACACAATGTATCCACACACTAATGTCAAAGGACACAATGTATGCACACACTAATGTCAAAAGACACAATGTATGCACATACTAATGTCAAAGGACACAATGTATGCATACATTAATGTCAAAGGACTAAATGTATGCACACACTAATGTCAAAAGACACAATGTATGCACACACTAATATCAAAGGACATAATGTATGCACACACTTATGTCAAAAGACACAATGTATGCACACACTAATATCAAAGGACACAATGTATGCACACACAAATGTCCAAGGACACAATGTATCCACACACTAATGTCATAGGACACAATGTATGCACACACTAATGTCAAAGGACAAAATATATGCACACACTTATGTCAAAGGACACAATGTATGAACACACTAATGTAAAAAGACACAATCTATGCACACACTTATGTCAAAAGACACAATGTATGCACACACTAATATCAAAGGACACAATGTATGCACACAGTAATATCAAAGGACATAATGTATGCACACACTAATATCAAAGGACATTAGTTATGCACACACAAATGTCAAAAGACACAATGTATGCACACACTAATGTCAAAGGACACAATGTATGTACACACTAATGTCAAAGGACACAATGTATGCACACACTAATATCAAAAGACACAATGTATGCACACACTAATATCAAAGGACATAATGTATGGACACACTAATATCTAAGGACATAATGTATGAACACACTAATGTCAAAAGACACAATGTATGCACACACTAATATCAAAGGACACAATGTATGCACACACTAATATCTAAGGACATAATGTATGAACACACTAATGTCAAAAGACACAATGTATGCACACACTAATATCAAAGGACACAATGTATGCATATACTAATGTCAAAAGACACAATGTATGCACACACTTATGTCAAAAGACACAATGTATGCAAAAACTAATGTCAAAAGACACAATACATTTATGAAGATAAGAATAAAAAGAGATGAAGGGGATACGTATATGACACATCAATCAAAAAGACAAAAAATACGTAAAGACATATAGAGCGCAAAATACAGTGTTCGCCAATAGACACGTTTACTGATAGCCGACCATTTACCCTTTTACATCATACAAAACTAGGAGAAAAGTTTTATATTGGACATAACCAGATTACTTTAAGCAATTAACCTGGAATTGCATCTTTTCCAAAACAAAATTTCATTTCAAATACATTTTACATATCCATCTCAATAGGAAGAAAGGAATGCGGGTATGTTTTGAATTAAAATGTGCGTTTACGTTTATCTTTTGTTTTTTTTTCAGATTCCAGAAAGAGTTTGAATTTATAAATACAAACAAAATAAAAGATATTTAATCCTTTATGACAGAAAGAATTGTTTTTATTTCAACCAAAACTGATGACATTTTCCTTTTTTATTTTCATTTTTCAATAACTGTTTTTTTTTTTAAATAGCCAATCAAAAAACCTCTTACTAGTAGGAAAACATTTTTTTTCCAATCACGTAAATTGTTATCTAGAAGATAATAGACTCTTCCGCAATATCTGATATCACTTCCGGTTTGATTGGAGTTCTATTACACAAATATCATAGTCGCTATCATAATTACTCATCAGTTTTCAGGTGAGTGTTGAATACAATTTCTCCTGTGTTTAACGTTTATTCATCAATTAATGACGACCGGTATTCGACTGATTGATGGCTATAGTTACTCGGCAATACCATGGTAGTATTTTATCCTACGGGTACCACAGATTATACATATATATGTATATATCAATGTGTAAAAGTGGTATAAGTATATTGCACCTACTTCGATTCGACCAACTCGGGTTGACAAGAGTTATAAAATCAGAACTAATGCGCATGTGCGGACTGTTCCCGAATCGAAGTGAAAACTCTACTCGAGTGACTCATAATAACTCTTATAGTTCAAGCCCTTACCGTCTCTTATTATCTACGCCTCCAAATGGAGTGATCGTAGTGATCGGAATATAACGACTGTATTATTCGGGTTACTCTCAAAATGTAAGATATAAATATATAGCAGCGGTTGTTAATTTTCTTTTTATGGACGTCGACAATAAACAACTTTATGTTCAAATTTTTAATATAATTAAATCAAAGAATTTCATTTTCAGTTCTAACCAGGCCAATATATTCATTTTAAAAATTCTTCTACCCCGTCGTCCCATAAGAAAAGGGAATGCATTATAGTGATACATTCACCTTTTACTCTTCAATAGCGATTCTAATAATAAATTATAATTATTTATGTTCTATTGATAAACATCACAAACAGTTTTTTCACGCGAAAAATATTTGTCAATACTAAAAATACAACAACAAAATAAATTTCACGTAACACCCCTTTCTTTGCCTGTATTTTGTAACCTTTCATTTATTTTGTATCAATCTCTTCATTGCTATTGTACTTGTTTGTCGCCATTTTGTAAATCAACAAAACCTGCCTCACCCCAGGGTTGATGTCGAGTTAAAAAGGTCAAACTCGGGGGGTTGATTGAAACTCGAGTAAACTTGACAAACTCTACTAACCCGAGTTGGACGAATCGAAGTAGGCTCTGTTTGTTCATCTAGAGTGATCACTGAGTCTGTTTCGTATCAGGTGCATTAGACTCCAATCTCAATATAGTTGAATTGCTAGTTTTCCTGTTGAAGATCACTTTTTCTCTTGTGGTAGTCCTTCACTCCCAAAAAACCCGGCCACCTCGATAACGCCATGAAGGTGGTGTTAAACACCACGAATCAATCAACCAATCAATGTGCATGTATACAATGTATGTTCATTGTATATCTTTTTACATGTATAAATGTACATGTGTCGGTGTTAAATTAATTCCATTGAATTGTATCGTGAACCCAAATATATTTATACACATATATATGGTTTATAGATGAGTGGTTTGATTCCGTTTAATAGTGTTGTTTATTTTCTTGGCCCGTCTCTGCATATTCAGTAAAAGACAGCATGCATCATAAAACTTCGGTCAAGAGTTCACACAAGTTCACCTCGGGCGGCTGCCATTGAATAAAGTTTTTGTAGATTCCCTGTCTCTCCAAGTCTGTCTGTATACTGCATTGCTTTAAGCTTTAAATTTAATTTCAAATTAATTCCAAAATCTTCCGAAGATTTGATTAGATACTCTATCAACATTTATGACTGAGAAAAAAGCTTGAAAGATACTTACGCAAAAGTGTGCCCCCTGTCGTATGCACAAAAAACTCGAACATCAGTTATCCTAACCGACATCAAAGCTATATATCATTCAGTCAATCAGGAATTATAGAAAGAAGAAATTCAGGTGTGTTTTAAATCTGACCGAACCACAAGAGAAGTTTAGTTTAGCTGACGGAAAATATTGACCGACAAATTGGTCACATTGATAACATCCATATATATATTTGGTTAGGACTCTGTGATCTCTCCGACTATGATGGTAAATCTATAACTGACTCAAACGACAAAAACTTTAAAGAATCTCTACCAAAAAAAAAAAAAAAAAAATCTGATACACACAAAAATATAATTGAGCTTACAAAAAATATCTATAAATATATGTATAACCAGAATTCATTATTCTTTTGGTACTAATGATTCAAAGTTCTTTCAAGCCACCTTTACCGTATCGCGGGATTTTGAACCTTTAAAACACTCCCATATAATATTTTCGTGGAGTGGATGGAAAATATTCTCTTCCAAGTATGTGCCTTTGCTGTGTGAGTAGATGATTGTTGTATAGGTTTTTACACCATCAGGTTCAACGATAGATTTGTTGCTGAATGTTTTTAATTTGATGCAGGAAAAAGATATGAAAAAGCACCTTACAATAATATTGGTTATTTCAGGCTATATATAGGAAGCTTTCTAGCAAATGTTAGTGATGGTTATTATAAACTAGCAGGCATATTGCTTTTTTGCACTAGATTTTCAATGGCGGGGAGAAAGTAATTTTGCCTCGAAATAAAATGTTCTATCTCAAAATGTGATTAATATAATGTTCAATAATAACAAAAAAAATATGTGAAAAAGTGCAATAAAACACTAAAAACTTTGATGATTTTTTTCTCTCTCGCTGCACACGTCCGGCCTCTCCAACCATCAATGCATCAATGTCATTCAACAGGTACGCTTGAGACACGTATTTTGTAATAACTTTCATCGGGTACGCTCGAGACACGTATTTTGTAATAACCTTCATCAGGTACGCTCGAGACACGTATTTTGTAATAATCCACATCAGGTACACTCGAAACATATATTGTGTAATAACCTTCTTCACGTACGCTCGAGACACGAATTTTGTAATAACCTTCATCAGGTACGCTTGAGACACTAATTTTGTAATCACCTTCATCAGGTATGCTCGAGACAAGTATTTTGTAATAACCATCATCAGGTACGCTCGAGACAAGTATTTTGTAATAATCTTCAACAGGTACGCTCGAGACAAGTATTCTGTAATAATCTTCAACAGGTACGCTCGAGACAAGTATTTTGTAATAACCATCATCAGGTACGCTCGAGACAAGTATTTTGTAATAATCTTCAACAGGTACGCTGGAGACAAGTATTTTGAAATAATCTTCATCAGGTACGCTCGAGACAAGTATTTTGTAATAACCATCATCAGGTACGCTCGAGACAAGTATTTTGTAATAATCTTCATCAGGTATGCTCGATACAAGTATTCTGTATTAACCTTCATCATGTACGCTCGAGACAAGTATTCTATAATAACCTTCAACAGGTACGCTCGAGACAAGTATTTTAGATTAATCTTCATCGGTTACGTTCGAGACAAGTATTCTGTAATAACCTTCAACAGGTACGTTCGAGACAAGTATTCTATAATAACCTTCAACAGGTACACTCGAGACAAGTATTTTAGATTAATCTTCATCGGTTACGTTCGAGACAAGTATTTTGTAATAATCTTCAACAGGTACGCTCGAGACCAGCATTTTGGATTAACCTTCATCGGGTACGCTCGAGACAAGTATTTTGTAATAACCTTCAACAGGCACGCTCGAGACAAGTATTTTGTAATAACCTTCATCAGGTACTCTCGAGATAAGCATTCTGTAATAACATTTAACAGGTACGCTCGAGAGAAGTATTTTGTAATAACCTTCAACAGGTACGCTCGAGACAAGTATTTTGTAATAAACCTTAATCAGGTTCGTTCGAGACAATTATTTTGTAATAAACTGCAACAGATACGCTTGAGACAAGTATTTTGGATTAACCTTCAACAGGTACACTCGAGATACCTTTTTCGAATTAACCTTTATCAGGTACGCTCGAGACAAGTATTATGTAATAACTTTCATCAGGTTCGTTCGAGACACGTATTTTGTAACAACCTTCATCAGGTATGCTCGCAACAAGTATTCTGTATTAACCTTCAACAGGTACGCTCGAGACAAGTATTTTGTAATAAACTTCATCAGGTATGCTCGAGACAACTATCTTGTAATAAACTTCAACAGGTACGCTTGAGACAATTATTTTGGATTAACCTTCATCAGGTACGCTCGAGACAAGTATTCCGTAATAACCCCCAACAGGTACACTCGAGACCAGCATTCTGTAATAACATTCATTAGACACGCTCGAGACAAGTATTTTGTAGTAACCTTCAACAGGTACGCCCGAAAATATTTAGGATTAACCTTCATCAGGTACGCTCGAGACAAGTATTTAGGATTAACCTTAATCAGGTACGTTAGAGACACTTTTTTTGGATAAACCTTCATCACGTACACTCGAGACACGTGTCTTGGAATAACTTTCATTGAGTACACTTGAGACACGTGTCTTGGAATAACTTTCATTGAGTACGCTCGAGACACGTGTTTTGGAATAACTTTCATTGAGTACGCTCGAGACACGTGTTTTGGAATTACTTTCATTGAGTATGCTCGAGATTGAAAGTTTGGAAAGCCAAAAATAGAAACGGTTTGAGAGCAAAACAACAAACAGAACAACCAACTTTGCAGCCAACTTTGTGTTCGTGGGTGCTGCAACCTTAGTATGAGTTCAATAGTTACTGTATATCAAAGCTTGGTATTTACAGACAAAATATATCAATTATTCAATAAGTTAAAAGAAGAAAAATGTCGATTTCTCTTCGTGGTATTGAACACTTAATCTTCACAAGAATCCATCAAGTTAAAACTACAAAGCGGGTGTTCTATTATATTTCCCATTTTATTTTTTATTAACTTATATTTACTTAAGTTTTCTTTTATCATCACAGATGGTCTAAAAATTGAAAGTTGTATTTTAATAGTTTAAAGAATAATGTCTCGCCTGTTTGAAATAAATAAAATGTATCTGT